GAAATGATGTGTGCACAAAGGACATATTTTACACAACTTGATTTTTTTTTATTTAAAAAAACGAATTTAGTTTCTACCCCCATAATATATTTAAATTGTTATTTATATTTTGAACACTGGAGAAGAATAATTATTTCAGGTAATTGTGGACATTCATGAATTTCAAAATGCCTTTTTAGGTAATTCTATAATATAATTGAGAATTGATAGGAGAATACAAATTTAAGAATTTAAAATCCTAAAAATAATCAGTGTTTTAGAAAATAATATTAAATGATGTGTTAGCAATTAGCAAATTAGAAAGGTAACAATCCTTAGAAAAATTGTTTGATGTATTTGGTGCTTGTAACTAAAACATTTTATATATATATATATGTGAGAGAGAGAGAGAGAGAGAGAGAGAGAGAGAGATCTATGTAGATAGATAGCCTTTTTGTGATTAAATTGAAGTCGTATCTTTTCTGCTAGTAAAAGTATTGACTATCTCTAAAGTCTGTATAGTATTTTCAAAATTCTACAATTAGACCTCTAATTTCCTACCGGCCTGACAACTAAGTAGGTTAATTTACACACTTCCACATGATTCTAAATTGCTTCTACTGTGTGTGTGTGTGTGTGTGTGTGTGTGTGTGTGTGTGTGTGTGTTTATACGCGTACACAATATTAATTGACTAGTAAGAAAAAAGAATCTATATTATAAAGAGGTAATATGCAAATTAGGCCAGGACTCCGCAACGGGTCATGACCAGACAGGAGGAGGTTGCATGCGCATGCGCAGGTGAGGCCAGGAGCGGAGACGAGACAGAGGCGGGGGGCCTGCCTGAGCCGGTGTGATGGCTTGGGCAGCCCCGGAGCAGACACAGGCAGGGGGAGCAGGGGGACGCTGCGAGTCAGGTATGGGTCCTGGCCCCCTGCGGCGCCAGTCCGGCCTCCCAAGGCGCCGATCCATCCTGACTCCTGTGGTGGCCGGTGCTGGGCGAGTCAGGCGCAGGTCCCGGCCCTCCCGAGATTTCAATCGCGTGCTGGGCCTCTAGTCTTAAATAAATGTATATGTAGGTAGAAATGAACAGATCATATGAAAGGTAATTTTAAAATAACACTGTGAATTATTGTTTACATTTGAGCAATCAAGAAAGCATCTCAAAAGGAATCATATTTAAACTAGTACCTGAATTATAATTGGAAAAAAAACTGAATTTATAGAAATAACATATAATACTTTAAAATTCTCTGTATGCCATTTTGGTTTTTTTCAAATAGATGCATATAAACTTGATTTATTTTTAACAGCCTCTCATGTCACTTTCAGTTATAAGAAAATGGTGTTTTAGTTCTGTCAGCTTGCCAAAATCAAAATCATTTAAGCCTCAGTACTTGATGTATCAGCTACAAAATTAATTCTAGATGGAAAGCGATATCCTTACATACAAGAGCACAAACTAATGCATGAATTCATAAGCCACATATGAAATTGAAAGCCTGTCTCCAATCCTTTACATCACTAGGGAGTCAATCTATTTGAGAAACGAATATTATCCTATCAAAAATATCTGTATTCAAACACATTGCATATGATTATTGTTATATGAAGTTCCACTATTAATATCCACGTACACTTATGAAGGCTTGTGAAGTATATTTACTGTTCAGCTGTATAGCTTTAGATCTTTAGATTTACAGAGACTTACACACTGACAAATAATTTGAAGGAGCGTATATTTTTTATGCTTAACTTTTATTCAGATTTTTCTCCACTAAAATAAAGCACAAACATTTTACATCACTGTTTGTTGTTTTCTACTATTAAAATATTTTGAAATAAGCTTGCTACAGAAACTGCTCAACCACTGGAATGTATTGCTGAAGACAATGATGATTTAAGGATTAAATTTAATAGATATATTTTTATTCTTTTTATTTCCCTTAAAAATTCCAAACTGTCAATAGTTTCCTCTTTCTTGAATTTCTGATCTTCCATTTTCTTGAATTTCTTGTTATATTTCATTCTAATACTCCTGATTTTTTTTTGTCTCTGGAACAGCCCTCCCTTTATCTTATTTATTAATATATATATTTTTATTGTTGATAGTATTACAGATGTTTCCCACTTCTCTCCTTTTATCCCCCTTCGTCCAGGCTCTACCCACCCCCCAAGTCTTTATCACCCTATTGTCCATGTCCATGGGCTATGCATATAAGTTATTTGGTTTATCTCTTCTGTGGATTCTTTTCTCTCTTCCAATTCCTTTAAGGTTTGTTAATCTTGGGATTATGACTTCAATTGTTTTTTACTTCTCAGTGGAATTTTACCCACTTTCACTCTGCAAACTACAAACTTCACTTCTAAACTGAGTCCTTACATCTTTCTTACCCCCCTACCGCCCTCCACCTCCTACCCCCAGTACAGACTAGTATATTCAGCTCCTTACTGGACATGTCCCTGGTGTCCCAGGTATATACATCTCAACTTTTCCAAAATTGAGATGTATCTCCTCTCTTCCAACCTACTCTTCTTTCTGTATGTCCTCATTTGGTGAAGGGCACCACCACCCCATCAGAGCTGAAGCAGAAAGAAAGGAATTACTCTTAACTACAACATTTTTTCCTCACCATTCTCATCCTATGAATGAGGAAATTCTGTGGGTTTTTATCCCCTCAGATCTTTGACTATCTCTCTCCTCATTCCTGCTGCTAGTTTCTTAGATCCTTGTCTTTGACCTGACTCATTGCAATAGTCTTCTAACTGGTCTAATTTCATTTCACTGTTGACCCATCAGTCAATCTTCTATGCTTAGTCTTATTTAAAATTGAGATATAATATAACATTATATTAAAGTGTACAACATAATGATTCAATATCCTATATAATAAAAGGGTAATATGCAAATCGACTGAACGGAGGAATGACTGGTTGCTATGATGCACATTGACCACCAAAGGGCAGACACTCAATGCAGGAGCTGCCCCCTGGTGGTCAGTGCGTTCCCACATGGGGAGTGCCACTCAGCCAGAAGCCTCTCCCGTCTCTGCAGCAGTGCTAAGGATGTCTGACTGAGACTGACAGCTTAGGCCCTTTCCCCGGGGAGCGGGCCTAAGCTATCAGTCAGACATCCCCTGAGGGCTCCTGGACTGTGAGAGGGTGTGGGCCAGGCTGAGAGACCGCCCCTCACCCCACGTGCATGAATCTCATGCACCAGACCTCTAATTTATATATATTTCAAGATGATCAATACAATAATTCTAATTAACATCCATCACCATATGGTTAAAATTTTATTTTCTTGTGATGAAACATTTTAAGATCTGTCTTGGCAACTTTCAATATACAGTAGAGATTTATTAATTTTAGTCATCATGCTGTACTTTATAGCCTCAGGACTTATTTTATAACTGGAAGTTGTACCTTTGACCATGTTCACCCATTTTACTTCACTTTCCCCCACCACAACCACTAATCTGTTCTTTGTATTTATGAGGTGTTTTTTATTTTTAGATTCCACATATGAGATCAGACAGTATTCATCTTCCTCTTTGTCACCTAATCTCACTTAGTACAAAGCTATCAAAATCTACCCATGTTGTTGTAAATCAGAGGATTTCCTTTCTTATGGCTAAATAATATTCCATTATGTGCACCAAATTTTCTTTATTCACCATCCACTAGTGAAGACTCGGGTTATTTCCATGTCTTGGTTATTGTAAATAATGCTGTAGTGACTTGGGGTGCAGAATATATTTTGAGATAGTGTTTTCATTTCCTTATGATACATTTCCAGAAGTGGGATTGCTGGGTCATAAGGTTGTTATATTTTTAATTTTTTGAGGAACATCCACACTGTCTTCCACAGTGGCTGCACCAATTACATTCCCACCAATGTTGCACAAGGGTTCCCTTTTCTCCACACCTTGCCAATGCTTGTTATTTCTGGTCTTTTCCATAATAGTCATTCTAACAGTTGTGAGGTGATATCTCCTTGTGGTTTGATTTGCATTTTTTAGGAAATTAAAGAAATAACCTTGGATTTTCTTTAAGTTTTATAATGTTATGAGGAACTAGAGGTTATTTTTTATAGTTTTAATAAAGATATTTTCTACAATGATAGTACAGTTAATTTGCATAGAAATTTTAAAAAATGAGAGGCAACATTAGTAATCTGAGGGCAATTAATGTAACCTGTTGATTAATATCTTGTGGGGTGTTGAATATAACAAGACAGGTTGAAGACCCAATCACTTCCTGATAAATTCACTGGTTTTCACAGGACAGCCTCTTGCTTAGGTCTCTGAGACACACTCAGGTCATTTCAGAATGGCGCCTGGAATAGAGTGACAGCAGCAGCACAAATCCTACTTCTTAGGGAACTAATTAAAAGCAGATAGTCTGCTAATTTTGAATACATATGCTGACTTAGCAGATGAACAACTCTTCTTGCACTTATGTTTATTATATTTTATTCTGCCCTTATAGATATGTGATTTCTTCCTTTGGAAATCATACATAAACCTAAATTTGCATAACCTGGGAAACCAGTCATTGACTCAAGAACATGAAGAGCTGCGTTCTCACCCAACCATTGTGGCTCAATGATTGAGCATGGACCCCATGCACCAAGAGATCACTGGTTGAATTCCCGGTCAGGGCACATGCCTGGGTTGTGGGCTCCATCCCCAGTAGGGGCTGTGCAGGAGGCAGTCAATCAATTCTCATCTATGTTTCTATCTTTTTCTCCCTCTCTCTCTAAAAATCAATTAAAAATATATTAAAATGGTTTTTCAAAGAGCTGCATTCTCTTAGCCACTTCAGCCACCTGCAAATACATTTTCCGCTTATGGTTATGCTAATCATCACATTTCATTGAGAAATATAGAGTTACAAATGAAGAGATGCATCATCTGAATTCTTCCTGAAATGCTTTGCTCCTTTGTCCAAAGAAGTTACTATTCTTCTGACTTTATGGGAGTGAATTATAAACAATGGGATCCCTGCTTTCTCTTGATAGGAGCTGCTGGACCTTCAACATGCCTACTGTAGACTCAGCAGCCAACACCAGGCGAAAACAGCAGAGCTGACTCTTGCCAACCACCGAGCCGATCAGAGTGCGGCTGAGGTAAAGAAACTGCGATTTGGAGTGGAAGAACTAAAACACAGACTCAACCAAAAAGAAAATAAGGTACCTTCTACATCAACATACACTAGATAGCGTCAAGGTAGCTCTTCATAGTATATAGAAAGCATTTTTCTCCTCTACTAACAGAGGGCTTTAATTGGGCTAAAAAATTTACATTTTAAACACCAAAATCAATTTAAAAATGTAACTGCAAGGAGAAAAATATTATCTAGATAAAGTGCTCATCTTTGTGTTGCTAAAAGTGTATTTTTATGCATGCACTAGAGCTTTTCTCAAAGCTTTATAAATAGCCCAAGTAAAAGCAGTGAATCACTGTGGTAGGAATTGTTCAAGTTTATTGTGTACACACCAAAAAGTTGGCAAACTGGGAGCATTCAAACCCAAACAGGGATGTATTGTTATCAAGCTGCCGATAGAGCCCAGAGCAGGGACTATTTGTTCTTCAGTGATTGGTTACAGTGTGGGAATTTTCAGTGGTTACCTCCTATTGACCTTGGGAAACAGTTCAAGTTCTGCCTGGGATGTCCAGAGGTGTAAGCAAGAAATGACCAAGGTTAAGTTGGTCTCGAAAAATAAGCTAAATTACACTGTGTCTGTATGACTACACTGGTTCCGTCTGCTCGGGGAACCAAAACGGTTGGTCTTCATTTGGTTTTGATTTCAACAATTCAAATATGCTTCTTCAGCATGGGTACACGTGCACACGTGTGTGTGTGTGTGTGTGTGTGTGTGAGCATGGGTACACGTGCACACGTGTGTGTATGTGTGTGTGTGTTTATATATGGGCACAGTATCCCTGAGGCTTGGTGTTTTAAGTTTTAAGCTTTCAGCCTATATATCAGAGAAATGTTATATTTGTAATGATTATATGTTATGTCACATATTAGGATATATATTCTCTCCAGTGCTCTCTGGTGTTTAAAAGAACAAAGCCCTGTTGTAGTGTTGTGTAAGGTCAACTCGTTAATGGCTTATAGAATATTTAAGAGGCCTAAGTGTGATGTCCTTAAAGCACACCTGCAACAGGTAGGTGATTTCAGCTACAATTACAAACAGCAAAGAAATATTTGTTTTGAACAAAACACAGTCCCATCTGTCAGTGTGATTGTGAGAGCGTCACCGAATGGCAGCAGTTACTTCAGGTGGTATTCTTGTTCCTGCACCTGCTCCTGAGGCAAAACAGACAAAGCCATTAGTTCCCTGGTTAGAAAGACTATTTCAAGACAATGCCAAACAGTTGGAACTTTAAAAAATTAAACTGAATTACTATTCCAAGGGGTAATTAAATAACAGAACACATTTTACATTTGGAGGGTTAATTTTTAACCAAAAGTATTCCAGCCAAGCAAACTACATTTTCTTCCCTAGTAAGAATATATGAAAGCAGAAAGATTTGCCTAGCGAGGTTCCTACATTGTTCCCTGCTCTTCCTGGCCCCTATTTTTGGGTGGGCATTTGATCCTTAATGTGGTTCTTTTTATGTATATGTACTTTTTAATTGTGTGCATGTACACTGGGTGTGACTGTAGACCAGTAAGTCAGAATAGGAAGATGGTAGGAAGGCTCAAGAGAATGGTTCTAGGTTTTTATGTTGTCATGGCTATTTATTCCTGAGAATGGCTTTAATATGCAAGTATTTGTTGGACATGGTGATAACTAATTCTCTATGCTTGCCAATATAGTCTTTAAAAATTGCTTGGGACTGAGCCATTGGCAAGGAAATGATAAAATTCTGTAGGGTTCAAGGGCTAATGAAGCATTAGTTCTCAAAGAGCTGAGTCAGCAGTCTAATCATGTAATTTTTAAAAATAGCTGTGGTATCTGTCCTGTTTTTCCAGCACCATTTATTGAAGAGACTGTCTTTACCCTAATGTATATTCTTGCTTCCTTTGTCATAGATTAATTGACCATATAGGCGTGGGTTTATTTTTGGGCTCTCTATTCTGTTGCATTGATCTATATGTCTGTTTTTATACCAGTGCCATTATGTTTGGATTCCTATGGCCCCGTAATATAGTTTGATATCAGGTAGTGTGATACCTCCAACTTTGTTCTTCTCTTTCAAAATTGCTGCAGCTACTTGGGTTTTTCGTGCTTCCATATAAGTTTTGGGATTATTTTTTCTAGTTCTGTAAAAAAAATGCCATTTTTATTCTGATCATTTCTCTCTTCTATATAGGTGTGTTTATTGCAATTTTCCTTGCCTTGGTTTATGCCATTTTTATTCTGATCATTTCTCTCTTCTACATAGGTGTGTTTATTGCAATTTTCCTTGCCTTGGTTTACTATAGTATATTGGGTGTGTTTGTGTGTGTGTGGGGGGTGCATTACTTGTCTTTTGAGTATATAGATTTCTGGAGCAATACATTTTGAGATCTGATATAGATATTATCATTAGATATTTGACTTTCAGACCAATGCTGAGATTGGAAGATTGCTTGGGTAATTTTTCTTGTGGAAAGGGTAAAAACTGCTTAATAGGTAGGGAGGAAATCAAATAGTTTGTGCCTAAGAGCATATGCTACATTATATTGAGTGAGTGTGCATGTGTGTGTTTTGATACTTGCAGCCCTTTTCTGTGGGAAGAATATAGTCCCAAACTAGAACAGTGGGCATGGTCCTCTGATTTGACAAATGAAATTTGTGCTGCTATCTAGTAGAACCTTTTAGAACCATAGTTCCATATGAATAAGTATTTAGATAGATTTCATATTTGATGCCTAGAAGTAGATGTGTAGAAATACACATTTAACATATAAAATATTTCAATGTTCTTTATATTCAATCAGTTGGTCACCAGAAAGGACTGACCCAAAGCACTCTTAACTGGTATGGGTTTTGTAATCTGGATTATTTTATTGTAGTTGTCAGATCTCCAGTTTTTCTCTGATAAAGGTCATCACTATTTTGGGTGACTGGGAATGAAATCTTTTTTTAAAAGGTTCTTATTGTTTTTAGAGAAAGAGAAAGGAAGAGGGTGAGAAACATCGATTGGCTGTCTCCAGCACACCCCCTACTGGGGATCAAGCCTGCAACCTGGGCATGTGCCCTGACCAGGAATCCAGAGACCTCTTTGGTTCATGGGTTGACACTCAACCACTGAGCCACCCGGGCCGGGCGGAATGAAATATTCTTCATGGAAATAAGATTTTGCATTAGATAGCAGCCAGTATTTTCCCAATTTGATTTATTGTTGAGAAGCCAGGAAAATTCTGCTGAGCCTTTTAATTTCATACTAGAAAATTCTTCACATTGCAATTAGTTAAAATTAATTTAAACTTGAAAATACAAAGTTTCTAACTCCCTCAAGTCAACAGATTTTAAATAAATAAAAAAGAGATATTAATTCTCTACTGCAGAAAGAAAAGATATTTTGGGGCCATAAGAGAAAACCCAGGGTCTTGTTTAAAAAAGCAAATTAGAAAAATTTCTCTTTTAGATGACTTGCTTTTCTTTAAGCAAATTGTTTTTAAAAATTTAATTTGATATATATTTGTTAGAAGCTAAACATTCTTTTGTAATCATTTTTTTGAAGTCTTTCTGGGATTGTATATTACATTACATAATGACAAAATTTAACTGGAACTTAATTACCATAATGCAGGACCTATTACATACATATCCACATTAAAATACCAAAATAACTGACTACTTCAATAAATATGGTAGAGAAAACAGTATAATGAAATGATATAATAATGCAATAAGCAAAGCTGTTACAGACAGGACAAATGCAACCTAAACTCACAAATGTATTTCTCTAGCACATAAGAAGCAAGGAATATAATATAAACAATTATTAAGACACATGGTGTTCTGCACTGTAAAATTAATATCAGGAAGGCTAAAAGACAAAAAGAGATGAGGTTTGCTGAAGAATCTTTTAAATTTTGTAAACAATATCACATCACATAAGAAGGAAAAATAAAGGGAAAATTTAACAATTACTTCACCATAGTATATTATTTCAGTATACTGATTTCAAATACCTAGACAATTTTATGCATAATTACAGTCATCATTTACAAAAAATATACTCTACTTTGTAAATTACCATAGCTAGTTTTCATGTTGCTTTGTAGTTTCATAGTTGGTATTTCAAGGGCTTGTCTAATATTTCCTTGTATATAAGTTTATTTAATCAATTAATCTTCCCTGACTTAAAGCCATTTGGATTTTCTTTTCCCAACATAATTCTATGTGATTACTTTTATTTATAGACCATTTTTCCCCATTGGAAAAAAAGTTTAGTATGTGGAATTCTTTGGTTAAAAAATATGAATATAATATGATTCTTTATATAGGCAGTATTACCAAATTTCTATGCTCCTCGATGATAGGTCAGATTGTAGAAATGTTGATGCAATCAAATGTCAGACCTTAACCTCATCTTAACTAATGCAAAAGCATGTTAAATATTAAGTTATCTATATATATAAAAGGCTAATATGTTAGAGTCCCCCCACCCATCTGACCAGTTGCTATGATGTGCACTGACCACCAGGGGGCAGATGCTCAATACAGGAGCTGCCATGACACACACTGGCCATTTACAGAGAAACGGCAGCATGGACCTGGTGCTGACAAAGCAACACTTGGCTTCCCCCAAGTGGGACACAGGCCCCGCCACTACCACAGAGCAACACCCCACCAAATCACAGCTGATGCTGCTGGGACCCCATGGCACACAATGCGTTCCACAGCCCAGCCCAGAAACAGTGGCTGTGGGCGCTGGGTAATGACATCATGTAGCAACACCTGGCTTCTTCTGCCTAGTGACTAGCCTCCTTGCAGTTTCTTCAGCCCAGGAACACAACTCGCTTTATAGCCAGGTGCAAACATTTCACACTTTAACCAAATATCTGTGAAGCATTTTCCCATGCCTCATCTCATTTGATCCTCACAGAAGTCCTGAGTAGGTAGATAAGAGACTCAGTGAAATCCTATTTTCTTTTCATTAGCTGGAAAACGGAGATTTAGAAAGCTTAGGAACTTGACCCAATTGAAAAGAAGTAAGAAATGGTGGACCTTGAAAATGACTT